CCGCTCCGCAGCTCCCGGGCCCGCCGGCGCGGCCTCGCCTGGGGGCGGCCAGTCCTGGGCGTGCTCCCGAGGAAGGGAGGAAATCGCACTTGCTCCTGGCCTAGGACAATGGCAGTTGATCATAGCGAGGCTGCTCGAAGAGTTCTGAAGGGCTCTTTAGAGGATGGTTTGAGTCCGGGTCTGTGGGCTGGGAGCGGTGACGTGGGAAAGGAGGGGAGGTGAAGCCTGGCAGAGCCCTGGAGGTGGTTTCATAACCGTGAACGCCGAGAGCTGTATCTCATCCCTGGGTTGTAGTTGCGCAAACTTGGGCGACATGCCGCGCACCTTGCACGGGATTCAGGCGTTCTGGGCAGATGATTATTTCATAGCACCTAGTTTTGACTGGTTCTTACAGCTAATGCAGAGTCAGTATTACTTGCTAAGGTGCCCTTACGCACCAATCATGTTTGCCAATTTGAACATTCTCGTGAAATTTCATCCTTTTTGTTATCATTAGCCCCCAGTCTGTATTTTTGAGTGATGTTGGCATTTACGATTCCAGCTTCTTGGACTTGTCTGTGGTTGGAGGGATTTCTTCTGTCTGGGTGGGTAGAGCCCTTCATGTCAGTCCTTACTTGAATGCACATTGTTAGGTTTAGGTTGCCAGTTCCAACACTGCCCAGTTGCTCCTGATTCGCAGTTCATCTTAAATGATTTTCAGCTAGGTCCTACTAAGCAAATTAATAATAGGTAGTTGTGCTCATTCATGGACGTAGCACGTCTTCTGAAAGGTGATATGCAGTAATTTAACTTTCAGCGTGACTTTGTCTTTCAGAATAATGGATTCATTTTTCTTATCTCTGGTTTAAAAAATTGGGATGTAAAATATTATCACGGTACGTGGTTGGTTTGTTTTTCTCCTTGAATGAATCCATTTATAATTGTTTTTTGAGAAATTTCCCAAGTCTGGTTGAGAAAAGGAATTTTTTTTCAATCTAGTAATAGATAATTTAGTTTCCCCTTTGGGATTTTGAGTTGCGTTGGCATTTTAAAAAAGTCTAAATCAGAAACAGATTATAGTTAATTGGTCTCCAAAAATTATATTTTTAAGCACTCAATTGAAACTTTTTTTCTGTTTTTCTTAGAGATACTCTAGGTATTAAAACTGGCCTGTCATTGGGAGAGCTACTTTTTACATAGTTATTCTGCAGGTGAGAAGTTGCTGTGTATGTGTCTTGAAGCAAAGCAAATTTGAAGGACTGGTTTTGAAAAGGATTATGAATTCCATTTCGTAGTTTCTCCTCTCCATCTAACACTTGATCTCTCTTTAGAAATGGTTCTCCAGAATTATTTGGGAAAGTTTGGCATAATGAAATAAACTGTTCTTTAAAAATGTCTGATGTTATTTATATTAGTTTTTTCATTCTCTAGAACCTAGCTCACACTTAATACTATGTGTTCTGGAGAACCTTTGCATACTATTAAATTTATTCTGGTCTTGCAGGTTGAGCTTCACATTTAACAGGGTGTATTTTTCATTATGATGTAGGTAACGTTCATGTTAGTAATTCTCTAAACCAATATTTGAACGTTCATGGCTTCACTTTGCTTTATTTAAACGTGCGTCTAAAAGTGTCTACCATCTGATGATGAATTTTTATTTGGACATCACAAATCATTTTTCTTAGCTTTCTATAAGAATTGTGATACAGGCCTTTATTATTCTTAGCTTTCTATAACAATGTGTGATACAGGCCTTTATTATTTTCAATAAATGTTAAGCAGATTTACTACAGAATTTGATTTGTAGAATGCGATTTAAGCCTTATATTTAAATATTTGGATAATCTTTTTATGTATCTATGTGAGAGTGTAGTGGTTTTATTTTCTTTTGTTTGCTTTTGGGGGTGAGGGTACAGTAATCGGTATCTGTTACCAGATTTTATAACTACATTAATCATTTGTGTTTGGTGGCTTCAGGGAGTCTTGATAACCACTGATAATTCTGTGGTTTCTGTGTTCAGCATAAGATGATAAACTTGGCTTTTTGGATTATATTTACTTTTTGAGAAAATTAGAATATGTTCTAAAATCAACCTGGTTAAGTTTACTTTTTCCTTCATAATCACATTTATGTGTAAAAGGAGGGCTTCCAGAGGAAAAGTAGGTTATATTTTGTCATTATGTATTTTTCAACCCCTTCCTCGCTTGGGTCCTAGACTCTTTTGAAATTGTAAAATGAGAGTTGATTTAAACTTAATGTTGATATTTTATCACTAGGAGATTGTTGTTAACTTGAACTAAGATCTTGATTACTGTGGAAAACTATAGCTCCTAATAAAAGCTTCTTAAAGCTTTTTAGTCCTATTGTTTTCTTTTTTTTTTTTAGTCCTATTGTTTTCTTAATGTTAAGGATTTTTTTCTTTTAGGGATTTCTAATTATTATGGCAGAATGCTTGTTGCTAATCTTTACTTCCCATTATTTCCTCAGAAGCGGGCTTCTCTGATTACCCAAACGTCTCCCTCTTGGTTTTTGGAGTTCTGTTGTTTAACTTATCCCAGTCTTGTTATTATAGCCACTGGTTTCTGTTTCCCTCCCTGATTACATGAAAGCAAGAGTTAGAATTTTATTTTTTTAAACATTGTTATGTCTTTTACCGTGGTAGGTCCTCAATAAATATTTTGCCGAAAAAGTGTTGAATATGGCTTCCTTTCTGTATACCTTTCTTCATCTTCTTCTTCTTCTTCTTTTTTTTTAAGATTTTATTTGTCAGAGAGAGAGCACGAGAACGGGAGAAAGCAGGGGGAGGGGCAGAGGGAGAAGCAGACTCCCTGCTGAGTGGGGAGCCTGATGCAGGACTCATCCCAGGACCCGGTGATCATGACCTGAGCCAAAGAAAGGCAGACGCTTCACCGACTGAGCCACCCAGGCGTCCCTGTATACGTTTATTCTTGACAAAACATGGGGTATATACATATTAAGAACTTGGTGAGATTATGTTAGGCTATTAAAGGTTTATGTTTTCATGTGTTACTCTTCTGCATAAAGGTTACACCTAAATGCAAAAACTATTCTAAGTAGTTGACCATTTTGCTTTACGAGATAGTTCTTAAAGACAGTTTTTTAGAAATAATATATTGAGTTCACTATCTTCTTTTGAAGGGAAAATATAACCTAGAGTTTGTACGTACATCCACATTGCTTTATTAAAGGTGAATATGTTATGTTTTAATATTCTGATTAATCTTCAGAAGTAATGTGGTGATTCATATTACCCAGAGGTGTGTGTAAAAAACTTCTGGTTTGTCAGCAGACATGGAGTAGGACATTTTTATGTGAAGTAGTAATAAATTGCATAATTTATAGCTAAATCTATATTCCAGACTAGTGCTTAGGGTGTAACTATGCTTTATCACAAGATTAACTATATTTGAAACAGTTCTAAAAACAACAGTTGTGTTATTGAGCATCGATACTTCAGAAGAGCTCTTTTTCTGGTGACTAATGTATAATGATACAGGCAGGCAGTTGCCAATGATGTGTTTTTACTATTTATAGGCATCTCTGTCTTTTTTTTTTTCTTCTTTTTGATTTGAAACTCAGTGATGGTTGTAACTTTTTTTTTAACCTTTATTTTCTGTAAGAACTGGTTAAGATTTGTTTGTGTGGGTGTGAGCCTGTCAGTCTGAGGTAAACCCTTGTCCAGCACTGTTGAACATCTTAAGTTGAAACTGCATCTAGACTAG